TTATACTAAAGCACTATAAACTGCATAAAGAAACGTAAACATTTACAATAAACCTGTTGGCATGCATTGTAACTGCAAATAGCTACATGAATTACAGCTTTTAAACTGCTCTATCGTTTTTGTTTACTTTTGGATATCAACTCATCAAATCTATCAAAATATAATGTTCTCACTCCATAAATATCCACCGTCACAGGCAGCCAGTGGCACCTTAATTGAGGAGGATGGGTTCATAGTAATGGCTGGAACGGAATAAATGGAATGGTATCCAACACATCAAATAAATGTTTTCCATGTGTTTGATACCATTCCATTCACTCCATTCCAGCCATTATTATGAGCCATCCTCCCCTCAGCAGCCTCCTGTGCACCCTGTGCATGCTCAAGTGATTACTAAATTAGATGGAAAAGCACTTGGACACCATAGCTGACATGTTGAGAAGAGGATTGTATTAATAGATAAATGTTGCAACTCAGAGAGAGAGAGAGGATGTGATTAGATGTGCTGCTGTGCAGTCTGTTTGGACTCAGAGAGAGAGAGAAAGAATGTGGTAAGATGTGCTGCAGTGTAGTCTGTCTGGACTCCGAGAGAGAGAGAGAGAGAGGGAGAGAGAGGATGTGCTGCAGTGCAGTCTGTCCGGAGCTGGTGCCAGAGCCTGCAGTGCAGTCTGTCCTGCTGACTCTGGAGCTCTGCTGACACTCAGATCTGCAGCCAGCCCCTCCGTGAGAGGGGAGCTGTACAGTACAGTACGTCAGGCTCTCCTGCAGCGTTGGGGACAGCACCTGTTGACAGACTGATGTCCACACTACTAACCTTTACTGGCTCATCCAACTGCTATTAATCCCGATTTGTACAATCTAGTTAGTCGTATAATGTACCTAATGACTATGGTAACATACTTTGGTCTTAATTTTATAAGCTGTCATATGCATGGTATGCCTCCTACGACAACTGAACTCAAGTTATTTTGGCATGTTTCACATTGTATCTAGCTATTTGTCTAGACCTCAAAGTGTTGGTTGCTTTAGAAAGTGGTTGTAGCATACAGAGTCTTCCTCACTCCGTTTATCATAGTTGTTATGGCACTGGCTTCTGCTAATATCTGAATCGCCAGATATGAGGCTCCACATACGGAACTACACTTCCCTACGTATTTATTTGGACAGTGAAGCTAAAACTTTTAATTTGGTTCTATAGTCCAGCATTTTGCGTTTGAGATCAAATGTTTTATATGAGGCGACGGTACAAAATGGCACATTTTATTTAAGGGTGTTTCCATACACATCTGTTTTACCGTTTAGAAATGAAAGCACTTTATGTATCTAGTCCCCTCTTTTGAAAGTATCATAAGTATTTGGACAAATTCACTTTAGTGTATTAAAGTAGTCAAAAGTACAACTCTACTCTACTGTAACTTTCTCACTCATCATTATTCACAATTCATTCATGATTATCCGTAATCATGGTAGCTTCCAAATTAATGTAGAAGTGCTCAGAAACATTATATTTTATGTACAATAAAAGTGACTACAAAATGACAAAATACATTATTTACCATTATTATTTTATTTTCTTCTAAGGTTTCGAGCCTGACGTTTGGCAACTCGAACCTTCAGCTCCCTCCACAGATTTTCTATGGGATTAAGGTCTGGAGACTGGCTAGGCCACTCCTGGACCTTAATGTGCTTCTTCTTGAGCCACTCCTTTGTTGCCTTGGACGTGTGTTTTGGGTCATTGTCATACTGAAATACCCATCCACGACCCATTTTCAATGCCCTGGCTGAGGGAAGGAGGTTCTCACCCAAGATTTGACGGTACATGGCCCCGTCCATCGTCCCTTTGATGCGGTGAAGTTGTCCTGTCCCCTTAGCAGAAAAACACCCCCAAAGCATAATGTTTCCACCTCCATGTTTGACGGTGGGGATGGTGTTCTTGGGGTCATAGGCAGAATTCCTCCTCCTCCAAACACGGCGAGTTGAGTTGATGCCAAAGAGCTCGATTCTGGTCTCATCTGACCACAACACTTTCACCCAGTTCTCCTCTGAATCATTCAGATGTTCATTGGCAAACTTCAGACGGGCCTGTATATGTGCTTTCTTGAGCAGGGGGACCTTGCGGGCGCTGCAGGATTTCAGTCCTTCACGGCGTAGTGTGTTACCAATTGTTTTCTTGGTGACTATGGTCCCAGCTGCCTTGAGATCATTGACAATAATATGGCATTTAGCAGACGCTTTTATCCAAAGCGACTTACAGTCATGTGTGTATAAATTTTTACGTATGGGTGGTCCCGGGGATCGAACCCATTACCCTGGCGTTACAAGCGCCGTGCTCTACCCAGAACTACAAGATCCTCCCTTGTAGTTCTGGGCTGATTCCTCACCGTTCTCATGATCATTGCAACTCCACGAGGTGAGATCTTGCATGGAGCCCCAGGCCGAGGGAGATTGACAGTTATTTTGTGTTTCTTCCATTTGCGAATAATCGCACCAACTGTTGTCACCTTCTCACCAAGCTGCTTGGCGATGGTCTTGTAGCCCATTCCAGCCTTGTGTAGCTCTACAATCTTGTCCCTGACATCCTTGGAGAGCTCTTTGGTCTTGGCCATGGTGGAGAGTTTGGAATCTGATTGATTGATTGCTTCTGTGGACAGGTGTCTTTTATACAGGTAACAAACTGAGATTAGGAGCACTCCCTTTAAGAGTGTGCTCCTAATCTCAGCTCGTTACCTGTATAAAAGACACCTGGGAGCCAGAAATCTTTCTGATTGAGAGGGGGTCAAATACTTATTTCCCTCATTAAAATGCAAATCAATTTATAACATTTTTGACATGCGTTTTTCTGGATTTTTTTGTTGTTATTCTGTCTCTCACTGTTCAAATAAACCTACCATTAAAATTATAGACTGAACATTTCTTTGTCAGTGGGCAAACGTACAAAATCAGCAGGGGATCAAATACTTTTTTCCCTCACTGTACATAAAGTGCTTTCATTTCTAAACGGTAAAACCGATATGTATGAAAATACCTACAAATAAAAGGTGCAATTTTGTGCTGTCGCCTCATATGAAACATTTTACCTCAAATTCAAAATGCTTGAGTATAGAGCCAAATGAAAGATTTGAGCTTCACTGTCCAAATAAATATGCAGGGGAGGGTAATATGTACCAAACTTCTCAAGGTTTTGTAGATATCTCCATTACATCATAACCTGATCTTCATGTATGATTATGACTCTTATCGTGCTGCTATCAATTGGCATATTTTACATGTTTAGACAAATTGTTTACTGGAATCACACAATTACAAGCTGTAAATGATTATGAATAAATGCAATGTTATGGATAGAAGAAGAACGACATCCTTGTTTAGTTTTTGTGTGTGTGTGTGTGTGTGTGTGTGTGTGTGTGTGCGCTCGCGTTCTCTCTTGTTTGCCATGGTCCCTCCAGTTTTTGAATAGCCCTGGGAATGGCTCCAACTGGCTTTGTTAACACAGGGCCCTCGACACACACAGCTAGTGACCCTGGGAGCAGGGGTGGTCTGGGGACACCACTGAGAGGGGCCCTGCAGGGGGAGGTAGACAGGCGGGTGAAACAATTGGTGTATTTCTGAACAGAGCAAATAGTTGAAGCAAACAAGTTAAAAACATCACTTATTTCTGTTTCAACTGTGTTTTCAAAAACCTTGTAGATTTGATTTGCTGTTGAGATTTTGTTCTGCCTCTTTGAGCTTTAGAGTCTTCAAGGACCTTCAGAGATAGAAAGATCCCACTAGGCAAACACTGGTTGAATCAACGTTGTTTCCAACGTCATTTCAATGGAATTATGTTGAACCAACGTGAAATAGACGTTGAATTGACATCTGTGCCCAGTGGGCTATGCTTGTGCAGGGATCACATGTTCTTTGACTTTCGTTATAATCTTTTTGAAAATTAAAACCATGAGAGGAGTTAGGTTTGATGGAGCAAACAGACTGTTTTTGTTTCATTCTGGGAATACCTGGATGTCCCTATATACACCGATCCAGATCTTCTACCCAAGCTCTTCTGTTTCTCTAAAGCGAAAGCGAGACACTCTACAGCAGCACTTGGGGCACCAGCAAAGACATGCCTGAAGATTTCCTAGGTGACCTCCAGAATGTATTTGTGTTGATTCTTGGACCACACAGTCTATTCCTCTCCTATTTAATCATACTCAAAACCTCACGCTGTAAGTGGAACGTGTCCCCGCTGGCCTGGTTAAATTATGTAACTCCTAAACTAAAACACTAATGACATTCGAAGTTTCACAATCAAACAAGTGTGTTGTGTTTCACTGTCTCCCTCATTGGCTGGGAACACCAGCTGTGTGTCTAGGTCTAGAAGCATGACATACACGGATGTAAGAGGGCATAGTGGGAATGGAAAGGTCTGCCCAGAGCAGAGTGCCCAATGCCAGCCTCTTTCTCCCTGGACTGAGTTTGGACCTCTGCTGGGGTGATATAGTGGGATGAGGTTGGCATGCATAGAGAAAAGGTTTGAAACTGAAAGATGTAATATGGGGCCACTGACAGGCTGAAAGTGGATAGCATTCAGTGAGTTCGCCAGTTTACATGTCAGAAGAGCTCCTTGAAATCCATGCCCAGAATGATTCCTTCCTTCCATGTGTTTACATCTCCATCTGCTGGACATTTTTGTATATCACTAGAAGTAGTACATTTAATCAGTTTTAATAGCAACACTGAAGTCTAAATCACATTCTGTCATACATGTATGATATTTTCCAAGAAAATAATGAAGACATGATTTAATCATATTGCCTGAAATTGCATAGTGCCTAAAACGCATAGCTGGCTAATGTACTCTGCCCTAAACAATGAGAGATTGTTAGCTTTTTTGTAACCTCAACTTGATACATAATGTTGCAACACTATTACGTTGTTCTTCTTCTGTACAAACTGCAACAATATTTCCTTGAGTGGTTTCCTCCTGATTTCTTGCGCAGGCGCAAACCATTCACGGCAAAGCGAACCAAGATGGCGGCTGTTGTTGAAAATGTTGTCAAGCTGTAAGTAGCTACTGTTCTTTCCCCCTAGCTAGTTAAAGTACGCAAATGTGTTTTACGTTTAAATATAATAAAGGTCGGAGGTAAAGAAACATGTAAATGGTATAGTAAATTGTCTAAGATGTTCGGTAAAGGAACCAAATAACTCAGTTTTCAAACTGAGTTGAGCTCTGCGTTAGGAAATGGCTAGCCAGCTTGCAAGCTGTGTGAGTGTCAGGACTCAGCAGGTCAGTTTAGCTATGTCAAGGGTTTTTGTATGAAGAGTAGTTAATGAACACTTTGAAAATAACCAAGTGTCATCATTATATAACCAAACGTTGGGCACTAGTTAGCAAATGTACACGAAGACTTGCATATCCGCAACTCCATCCGTAATCTTAATTCCAGGGGGAGTTTGAAAACACCCACGGTGAGAGAGAGAGAGAGCTGAGATGGGGACATGTTAGTTTACAATCATTAGCATGTTAGCTGGCAACTTGGTTATTAAGTTTAGTTAGCTGCAGTGCATAGAACTACAGTTGTTGTTTTACAATGTAGGCCTACAAGTTAGAAATTAGTCCAGATCCTGTTGTTCAATATGTGTTCTGAATATATCTACTGACACTGTCTGCATTCGTGGTCCTGGGATGCCTTCATGTGGAAATGGAATGCATGTTATTTTTAGCTTTCCAACACGAAATCCATGTCACCACAATGCATTAGTCACTATGACAAATGTCCTTGAGGCATTGTTAAAACTAGCTTTTGCCAAAAGAGTAGAGCAATATGAATCAGAAATTCTACCAATTTCAAAAAAATTCCATGCAACTCGAGAACTGGGGTGTATTATCACGGAAACCATTTACCGTTTAAGAAGCAAACAGAGCAAACTAAACGGGGAGGGACTCATCTGAATTTGTCCAATATAAACTCTTGTTTTAGTTGCAGGTAAACCTTTTCGCAACAGAACCGGTGTAATACACACCTGTTGTCTATCATAGACCTCTTTCCATACCCACTTTCCCGAAAGCTTTTGTATCCCTTTACCTAAAATGGATTTAAGATTGTCTTAGTGCTACGAAGCTTTGAAGATAGATTGATGTAAGTAAAAAATAGGTTTCACTCAAGCTGATTCGTGTTGAAAAGCTGCTCCCAACCAGGCAGACCGCTGTTGCCAAGCCAACAAAAGAGCAACTGCTGACATATTCTCACCAGTGACTGAGTCCAGGGACACAATGATGTAGTCTGCTTGCCTGCCTCTCTGAGTTGCCAGCATAAACAGGACAAAAAGGTTTTAGCTGTGGCTGTGATAACATTTTTAAGCCTCTTTTACAGCACACTAGAGAGGTAGAATTCAGACAGCATGATTCGTCTTAAAGAGGTGGTAGGATCACATACCATAGCATCCTCGATATGGTAGGGATACACTCCAGGTACTGTCAGTTGTTGAACTGATGCATAAATGTTTATTTATTTAGATCCCCATTTGCTTTTGCAGAAGCAGCAGTTACTCTTCCTGTGGTCCACAAAAATGTAAATTTTTTATAACAGACAGTGTGTTTCCTGGTGCTAACTTGTCCCTGGCTGCTCCTCTCTGTGTGTGGGTGCAGGCTGGGAGAGCAGTGCTACAGAGATGCCATGGAGCAATGCCATAACTACAACGCCCGGCTATGTGCCGAGAGGAGTGTCCGAATGCCCTTCCTGGACTCTCAGACTGGAGTGGCGCAGAGCAACTGTTACATTTGGATGGAGAAGAGACACAGGGGACCAGGTAAATACATTACACATCTACACAAACTGAAGTCACATACGGTTTTTCAACTACTGTGTTCACAGCCTCGAGTAGTAGGCTAAATGAATGTTTCCCGACTCCAGTACCCCCAAAAGTACACGTTTTCGTTGTGGCCCGGTCAAGCCCCTGACAAGTTGAATGAGGTGTGTTTGTCCAGGGCTACAACAAAGATGTGTACTGTTTGGGTTACTCGAGGACCGGAGTTGGGAAACACTGTATCATTCATCATCACCTCATGATCAGGAGATGAAAACCAAAGAGATCACTGTAGTTCAAGCACTCGGGAGAAATTGTGTTCACCTATTTAAGCTGAAACTTTAAACAAAGAATTGTAGATATAAAGTGAAAGTTAATAATGCCTGTTTTATAGGTCCACATAAAAGTCTAGAATGGATTTAGTTACGTTAGTTGTATGTTAGTGTGCACCTTATCTGTCCTTTCTCAGGCGTGGCCCCAGGACAGCTGTACACCTACCCATCCCGCAGGTGGAGGAAGAAACGACAGGCCCACCCCCCAGAGGATCCCCGGCTGGTCTTCCCCCCTCTAAAGTCAGGTACGTCCGCATTGTTAGCAGTTTATGTTATTCTTCAATAACACAGACCCCAAAGCAAATCAGGGGGAGAAAAATATATTTATTCAAAGAGAACAAATAATAGTTGTTATGCTGGGAAGTAGATGGGAGATGTTCATTCTTCCCTGTTCTCAATGTTTCTCCACTAAACAAAGAGACAGGATGCAGCTTATATCCTCAAGCCTAGCATGTGGCTGACCAATTATAATTCCTTGCAATAAAATTGGGCTACTGGCCAAACCCTCAAGTATCCTGTTTCAGGCTCAATGTATAGACCATTTGGACCAATGAAAACTTGCCACATGTAGCTATGAACCCCCGGTTGGAACCCCTACAAAGATTCTAAACAGATGTTGAACTGAAAAACAACTATTTCCATTGATCGTTAATTCCCTCTTGACCTATAGTCCTCTATTGACCACTAGTCCTCTATTGACCACTAGTCCTCTGCGTTGTGTGTATTTATCGTAGAATATTCTTACAGTATCATGCGGGGCGCTTGTAACGCTAGGGTAGTGGGTTCAATCCCCGGGACCTCCCATACACAAAAATGTATGCACGCATGACTGTAAGTCACTTTGAATAAAAGCGTCTGCTAAGTGGCATATTATTATTATTATTATTATTATTATACTGGTCAGCTTAATAACACTATAGCGGTGTTGACATGTTTGTGTGCCCCTCTGTGCCAGAGTTTTCTGTTGGTTCTTCACTCCTTTGTAAAGGTTGTTTGTGGTTCTCCCTGTCTGTAGAACTGGACCTGGGGTTGAAGAAGGATGCCCTGTCATCATCTGATGGCAGCAGTCTGGAAGCCCTGCTGAAGGGGGAACCCCTGGACAAACGGGGTCCTCCGGAGCTCCAAGGGCCGGAGGAGGAGTCCAGTCTGGCAGACTACACTTGTGGGGGAGTTACCCCTGCAGCACGCGTCAGAAAGGTACCTTAGCCTTCTGTGGTTGGAGGGACCGTGTGTGATACCTAGCTTGGTTATTACTTCTCCAATGACATTAGCTACTACAGCAACATGCATTCTTCTGTCTATACAGAGAGTCCTGGAGCCAGATGACTTCCTGGATGACTTGGAGGATGAGGACTATGAGGAGGACACCCCCAAAAGAAGAGGCAAAGGAAAGGGAAAGGTGAGTGAAGCTATTCTAAACCAATAATTGTTGGTAATTTTACATTACATTTTAGTCATTTAGCAGATGCTCTTATCCAGAGCGACTTACAGTTGGAAACTCACTTTACTCAATGTTACGGGCATGTGATCTGAAATGGTGGATGTGTCCAGTGTGGCAACATGTCTGTACCTATGATATTGGCGATGAGGAGTATGATGGTGTGTTTGTCCTTAGGGTCGTGGTGTGAGCGGTGCCAAGAAGAAGCTGGATGCTGCGGCGGCTGCACTGGAGGACAAGGACAAGCCTTACTCCTGTGACAGTGAGTCCCAGCAGGGCCTTGGAGGAGAACAGTGGGAGTGCAGATGGCTTTGCAGGGCGGCTTACTCTCTTTACTCCCTAGGAACTCTCATGTTGGGAAGCAGTCAAAGTCGGTTGTTTTTCACTCCTGAAATGGTCTTCCCTTGCAGCTGAAACTCAGACGGGGCGTTGTTGATGTCTTTCTGATTCTGTCAGTCTGTGAGCGTACTTCTCTGAGTCTCTCTCTCTATGCTCTCTCTCCTTTTTCTCTCTCTTTCTCTCTTTCAGACACTTTGAAACAAAAGCATATTTCAAAACCTTCTGGACGAGGTACATTTCTGTCATTCCTTTTTGCTCTGCCTCCAGTCCAGTCTGCTTACTGCCTGTTTGTCTCGCTCTCTCTCTGTGTGTTAGCTAACATGTAGAATGCTTTGAGGTTAGTAAATGTTGCTGCCTCCCCCTCGTCCACTGAATTAGCTCTCATTTTCAAGGTACAGAATCTAAGTAACTTGATATGCTTGAGGGTGGATTGTGAATGTGGAGTGTGGAGATGCATTCTCTGTGCATGATTTCCACCTCACAGTTTAAGAAGTGTACTTTTTAATGATTTTATCCTAAATGACATTTTAGGCTACTCAAACATAGTTGGATACAGGAACATTTTGGCTCAGTTGGTGGAGCATGGCGCTTGCAACGGCAGGGTTGTGGATATGAAAATGTATGCACTCACTACTGGAAGTCGCTCTGGATAAGATTGTCTGTTAAATGACTAAAATGTAAAACATTTATTTCACCCATTATATTATTGCGTCACATCATGGTCAGGTGGTAGAGCATGGTGCTTGTAATGCAAGGATAGTGAGTTCGATTCCCGGGACCACCCATATGTAAAATGTATGCACGCATGACTGTAAGTTGCTTTGGTTAAAGCGTCTGCTAAATGGCATATATTATATCTTATTGCACACACTATAGCCAATGAACTGTAGTCTGTGTTTTCTTTCATGTCATAATCTGTCTTTGTGTCTCTTAATTGAATGTCTCATTTGCATTTCTTTGCTCCATTCCATTTTTCTTAACTTACCCTGTACTGTCTTGTCCTGTCCTCCTCACCTGTTTCTTTAGAGTGAAATAGTGCCTCTGCTTTTGTGTTGAACCAGCTTGATGTCTGGGCTGGCTGTGTGGGTCCTGGTGTGAGTGCCTATGGGGGGAGAGATTGTTGAGGAATGCCTAACCTGGGTGCTGCACAATGACCTTGAACTGGCGGTCAGACTTGCATAGGGACAGGTGGCCTGGGGTTCAAATCAATTGTTATTTGTCACATGCTTTGTAAACAGCAGGTGTAAACTAACAGTGAAATGCTTACTTACAGCCCTTCCCAACAACGCAGAGAGAAAAAAATAAGAGCTGGGTTTGGAACTGGGGGGGGGTGTAATGGGGGCTGGAGATGGGGGTTGGGAGCTGACCCAGTCAGTAATCTTGCCCCTCCAGGTATCAGATGAAAAACATGATGGGATTGTGTGAAGAAATGAGAGCGGGTGGGTGAGTGAGTGAGTGGATGGCTGTCTGGGTGAGAGATTAAGAGAGCGTGTGAGTAGGAGAGAGAGAGGAAGGGAGGAGGAAGTGTTTGGTCTGCTGGTGCTGGTCCATCTGAGGCTGGGGAAAACACTGACATCTTTGTTTTCGCCACTCTGACAATCCATCTATTTATACCCCTGGGTATTAGGCTAGTCTAGACTCACCATACCATTCCAAAGCACCAGAGTTCTAGTCTGGCGTAGGAAGTTATCAAAATACTTCATTAAAGTTATTAGTACTCATCTAAGCAATGCTTTGTCCATTCATTAAAACAGAGTCCATCAGGCCTTTTATCTTTCAGTGGAGAAACATTTACTCAGTTCTAGTATGAAGGCTACTTAATGGTTTACGTATGTTTTGTTTTAACACGTGTTGTGTTTGGGGATTTCTCTGGCAGTCTGTGGGAAGCGTTACAAGAACCGTCCGGGCCTGAGCTACCACTACGCCCACTCCCACCTGGCTGAGGAGGAGGGAGAGGATAAGGAGGAGCCTGAGGTCCACACCCCCACCCCGCCCCAGCCTGAGGAGCCCAAGAGTAAGTGACCAGACACTGGTGACCCATGTGGTCCTTTATAGCTCATTGGTTAACTGCTGTGTCATAGACACTGGATCATTGTGCGATTCCGGACCCTTGTTAATCAATAACCTTTGAATGCAGACCCATACTTATCATTTAATTCTGTGTTTCTCCCTCACAGCACCCAAGAAAGGTCCAGACGGTTTGGCGATACCCAATAAGTACTGTGACTTCTGCCTGGGAGACTCGGCCCTCAACCAGAAGACGGGCCAGTCAGAGGAGCTGCAGTCCTGCTCAGACTGTGGACGTTCAGGTAGCCCCTCCAACCCTGGCCTTTACCCTGAGAGACAGGGCTCACCTAGGCCTTTGAGACCATTTGTGTATATTTGTATGAGCATGCAAAGTAATGCATTTGTGAGTGGTAGACTTTACTTTAGGATCATACTAAGTGTGTTCAGAGTAAGTCGCATGATGGCGTAGTTACAAAGACCAGTAGTATTATGATGGCGTAGTTACAAAGACCAGTAGTATTATGATGGCGTAGTTACAAAGACCAGTAGTAGTATGATGGCGTAGTTACAAAGACCAGTAGTAGTATGATGGCGTAGTTACAAAGACCAGTAGTATTATGATGGCGTAGTTACAAAGACCAGTAGTATTATGATGGCGTAGTTACAAAGACCAGTAGTAGTATGATGGCGTAGTTACAAAGACCAGTAGTAGTATGATGGCGTAGTTACAAAGACCAGTAGTATTATGATGGCGTAGTTACAAAGACCAGTAGTAGTATGATGGCGTAGTTACAAAGACCAGTAGTAGTATGATGGCGTAGTTACAAAGACCAGTAGTATTATGATGGCGTAGTTACAAAGACCAGTAGTATTATGATGGCGTAGTTACAAAGACCAGTAGTAGTATGATGGCGTAGTTACAAAGACCAGTAGTATTATGATGGCGTAGTTACAAAGACCAGTAGTAGTATGATGGCGTAGTTACAAAGACCAGTAGTAGTATGATGGCGTAGTTACAAAGACCAGTAGTATTATGATGGCGTAGTTACAAAGACCAGTAGTATTATGATGGCGTAGTTACAAAGACCAGTAGTATTATGATGGCGTAGTTACAAAGACCAGTAGTATTATGATGGCGTAGTTACAAAGACCAGTAGTAGTATGATGGCGTAGTTACAAAGACCAGTAGTAATGACGGCAGTCTGTGGGAAGCGTTAGACAGGGTTTGTCCAATGAGACCCATTCTGTGTCCAACCCAGGCCACCCGTCCTGCCTGCAGTTCACCCCTGTGATGATGGCTGCAGTGAAGACCTACCGTTGGCAGTGCATCGAGTGCAAGTGCTGCAACGTCTGTGGCACCTCGGAGAACGACGTGAGTTCACCTGCAGGCTTCATACTTATTACCGTGGGACAAATACTGTATATTTGAAATAAAGTGGTGCGCTGAAAAACTGAGTTGTATAATGAGCATGTTGTCTTTTGTCCAGGACCAGCTTCTCTTCTGTGATGACTGTGATAGAGGCTATCACATGTACTGTCTCAGCCCCGCTATGGCTGAACCTCCAGAAGGTGAGAGCAGCATAATGGATCTAGTGCATCTGTCCGTGATGTACCACTGGGTACCATTTGCCTGTCTAATTGGGGAGATTTGAGTCAACTTGTTTGGTGATGACTGTTGTGGTTTTATCTCCGTAGGGAGACACATTTATCAGAGTACATCTGGCAGAGCAAAATGACCAAGTAGAACTCTCAGGCGGCGTAGCCAGACAACGATAGCATGGCCGGGTGATTTACTGATGAATCACCGCTTTCAGCAGTTAACTAGCCTTGAAATCTTCAAATGTTTAGTCAATGCAAAGTATTAGTTAAAATAGCCTGTACCTTCAGACCCAGTGACTTCGACTGGGCTAATGACCAGATGGGGATCCATGGAAGGCAGAGGATATTTATAGCAAGTCTGTGTGAGTCACTCACCACTCTGTTTCCTTATGTCCTCTAACAGGGAGCTGGAGCTGCCATCTGTGTCTGGACCTGTTGAAAGACAAGGCGTCCATATACCAGACGCCTAATGCCCCTCCGTCGTGATGGACCCCCACTCTCTCACAGGTTCTCCATCACTGGTCAGTAGAGCGGAGTGGGTGGGACAGATGACTTGTGAAAAGGGAAGCATACCTTACCCAGCCCCCTGCTGAAACAGGCATCGGGAAGCATACCTTACCCAGCCCCCTTCTGAAACAGGCCTCGGGGAAGCATACCTTACCCAGCCCCCTTCTGAAACAGGCCTCGGGGAAGCATACCTTACCCAGCCCCCTGCAGAAACAGGCCTCGGGGAAGCATACCTTACCAACCCCTTGCTGAAACAACAGGCCTCGGTTTGGTTCGTATATGGCTGTTACACAGTTCCAAGCTCAAGTGACCTATAGTCTTTTGTTTTCAACTATTTGTCAATATATCAAACTCAACGTGTCAATATCCTGAACAATACATTCAGTTTGTTTGAGTGGCTTAAACCACAAACAGTTTTTGCCAGCCAAAATACCTAAACACACAGTACACACAATCTCACATACAGTTCATGCACACGACTGCTCAGATCCTACTTTTATTCTGCAAAATATCAGTTTTGCATGTAGAGGAGAGAAATAGTTTAAACATGTTCTTATTATGAACATGCATTGGCATGCTAATTGATTCAAAGGTTTTGTATATTTATATATTTGTATAGAATATAAAGGTGGGAATTATTTAAAAGCTGCAATGATAGAGGTTGGTTCTGTAATGATCTTTGTGTAGTGCCCATCGTCAAAAGGAATGAATAATCCACAGCTCCTGATGTGGAGCCTGGTTGTCATCTCTGTTCAGCTATTAGATTCTACTCCTTGCCACTCATGTCATTTGCCAAAGACTGGAGTGGCAAGGAGTGGAATGCTAGCTAAAAAGACTGGTACCCAGACTACCTGATATGGAGGCAACATTGAGAGTTGGGAAGCATTGGGCATTAAGAGGGCCTTACCATTACATCAATCTCTATATCTCGGAGAGAGAAAGAGGATCTTGGCGTAACTCTTTTTTTAAGGAATTAAAGATTGGGTGTTTGCTGCTGTGGAGGAAAGTGAGTCAGTGTGGTTGCTGGTTGGCGTGGTGGTTGAGTGAATTTTAGTGTATCCTATGTCCACAGCCAGCCTTTTACCAAAAATAGTTACCTAATCTATTGGTAGCCAACACTGGTCCTGGAGAGCAGTTTGACATTTTACTGCTGGTAATGTAAGCATTTCGCTGCACCCGCTATATAACATCTGCTAATCCGTGTATGCGAACAATAAACGTTGATTTGCAGTAGTCCTAATCTGGACCCTTTTTGACCCCTTGTTGTTATGTGTTGAGAGAGAATTTAAAAACGGACAACTACCGAGCACAGGACTTTGTGTTTACCTGCCCATATCAGCTCAGGTGGTGTGTTACCACAAACTGCAGACTGGTGCACCTGCACTTACTATACTGTAGTATTTTCCTTGGAGGAAATGTTTTGACTTTGTCATATATAGGTCTATACAGCGCATTCGGAAAATATTCAGATACATTTGCATTCATTTCGCTTTGTCATTATGGGGTATTGTGTGTAGATTGATGAGGGGGGAAAAAACTATTTAACCAATTTTAGAATAAGGCTGTAACGTAACAATGTGGAAAAAGTCAAAGGGTCTGAATATTTCCGAATGCACTGTATATACACTGAGTGTACAAAACATTAAGAACACCATCCTAATATTGTTGCACCCCCCCTTTTGCCCTCAGAACATCCTCGATTCATCAAGGTTTCGAAAGCATTCCACAGGGATGCTGGCCCATGTTGACTCCAATGCTTCCCACAATTGTCAAGTTGGCTGGATGTCCTTTGGTTGGTGGACCATTCTTGACACACACCGGAAACTGTTGAGCGTGAAAAACCCAGCAGCACTGTAGTTCTTGACACACTCAAACCGGTGCGCCTGGCACCTACTACCTACCATACCCTGTTCAAAGGCACTTCAATCTTTTGTCTTACCCATTTACCCTCTGAATGGCACACATACACCATTCATGTCTCAATTTTCTCAAGGCTTAAAAATCCTTCTTTAACCGTTCTCCTCCCCTTCATCTACACTGATTGAAGTGGATTTAACAAGTGACATTAATAAGGGATCATAGCTTTCACCTGGATTCACCTGGTTAGTCTGTCATGGAAAGAATAGGTGTTCTTAATGTTTTGTACACTCAGTGTATATATTATTTACAAGATAAACACAGAGGGATTCTAAGTTGAACCTTAAAGGCACATTTCTGAATCAATTGCATGTCCGAATTATTCTCTTTGTCTAATGAAAAGGGAACACCTGTTTTTTTCCCTTGGATTTTCTCTGTGCTTTTCCCCCAAAGCTGAGCGCAATGCTCTCCACAGGTCTGGCTATGGTTACAATTAGCTACAATTACTTTACCTGAACTAGTGAAAGTATTTTTTTTAAACACAGGATTCATTCTCAGACATGGTCAAAAGGCAAAACAGTGGGCATTGCATTCTCTACAGACAGTCAACCAAGTGCATGATAATGTGTGCCCTAAACACGTGTGCTCATGGTGTACTCAGATTTGGATTGATCAAGGTGGAATGAAGTTGTGTAACATCATTTAGCTGTACTATCATGTTATATCAATAGCCAACTAACAAATACTAAAGCATTAAACAAGTATTTCTCATTTCATTTGTTTAGATGTTTGTTTGGAGGCAGTTGCCATTTGGAATATTAAAAATAAATAAAACAATTCATCAATGATATTTACTCAGTTGATGTAAAAACAGTTTTGGGACATTATTTGGATTGTGATTGAATGTTTCCTTTAGGTTACAAGGTTTTGTCTTTTTTTCAGGAAAATAAAATATTTGGCACTGACTGTATTTGGTGCCATGTCCTCTTTTTTTCTATTACAGCAATTGGCATTCAGGATCTTTGAAGCACTATTGTATCAGTGATGGAATCTTTGTGTCCGTGAAACCAAAACATTGTAAATAAATTGTGTACCTTATATTGCAAAGTACAAGGCCTGGTCTTGGTGATCAGATTGAATATTAAGGCACATGGACCAATTCATAACCCTACTGTTTCAATACACATGTCATAAAGACAAGCCATTTCCTCAGGCTGTGGATGGACCAACTTATCCATAGAGAGGAGGAGGGATTGAAGACAGTCATTGGCAAAACCAGACTGCATGATTACCATAGATGTAGGCAATTTAATGTTCTTAAGAAAGACACTGTACTTTTAGGCAGTACCCTATGTAGGTGTTCTGCCATTGCCTGTTCTGGATGTCAATGCACATCACATTTAGCACAACGGTTTATTTTGGTTTTTATTTAACAGTAAAAAAAGCAATTCTACAGAAGCATTGCCTTGCTTGCATGCATGGTGTCTTTTACTAGGGCAGATCTAGCCTAGAAAAGCTGCTGGTCTTGTGTCCTGAAGGAGGCGTGATTGCTGTGATAAGCCCTTCCCCAGGTCCTCTGTCCGGGGCAGCACAGCAGCAGTGTCTTGAAGGTGACTGAAGTGCTCGTTGCATAGGGCGTAGCAGACTGGGTTGACGGTGCTGTTGATGTAGCAGAGCCAGTAGCCCAGCTGCCACGGCTTCTCAGGGTGTCCAGGTCAGGATGAAGGCCAGAAGGATGGCACTCAGGGTCCTAGCTGCCTTCTTCTTCCTGATGATCATGTTCCTCCTCTTGGCTTTGGGCTGCTTGCGGTGTCTGGAGTCTGAAGATGTGGAGCCTCTCAGGGAGGACTGCCTGCCCTGTGGGCCAGTTGTACTGTCCCCTGCCCTAGACATCAGGGGATTTTTGGGCCCCTCCAGTGTCCCTGCCCTGGACATCTCTTAGTGGGATCATGGTTTTAGGGCTTGTCATAGCGCTCGGCCCCTGCTACTTCTGCTCTGGTTCTTCCTCTGAGGAGGAGACGGAGACATTAGGCTCTTCCTCATCTACATTACAGGTGCTGTCTCTGCAGCCCTCCCTCTAGCTACCCCTGGTGGGAGACAGTGACAGTGTTGCTATTCTCCTCCTCCTGCTCTACTTAGGCTCCTCTCTCACAGGGAAGCAGCTCTGGGACCCCTCACTGCTCTGCTCCCTGCCAGCAGACACCTCTCTGGACCTGCTCGCACTGCTCTTGGTGCTGTTGGAGTAAACAGCCCTTCCCTCAGATCCCTGGGAGGCCCCTCCACTGCTCCCAGACCCCAGCAGCCCCTCCAGACCCTGGGCTCGCTTTTCGATCTCCCAGTAGATCTTCCAGTACAGTATGCCCATGATGGTGACAGGAAGCTAGAAGGCAGCGATGGCCGTGCCGAATGTGAGAGCAGGCTCGTTCAGGAATGAGAGAGCCAACCTTGTCCTGCGAGGACCTGCCCACCACTTGGGGCCAGAACAGGATGGCCGGCCCTCACAGGATGAAGGACACTGCCCAGGCCAGCTGCCCGGCGTGTGGTGCACTGGGCCCTGTAGCTGAGAGGTCTTGTGACGGAGTAGAAGCGGTCGAAGCTGATGACCAGCAGGTTCATGACAGAGACATTGCTGGCCACATAGTCCACAGCCAGCCAGACTTAACAGGCCAGGCTGCCTTGGGCCCAGTGGCCCATGATGATGTAAACAGCATAGAGGTTCATAGAAACCGCCCCCAGGATCAGCAGGAAGTAGTTGCTGACGGTGCGTAGCTCGCTGTTGACCTGGAAGGAGATCAATGATAGTGACCAAAGAGAGAGGTCCTGTGATGAGTACGAATACCACCACCTCTCATATCTCATGGCCCCCCCATGGATCTGCTGTCGCATTGGCGATCTCACTAGTCTGGGAGTCACAGGAGTGGTTCATCCTTCACAGAGCAATGCTGAGTGAAGTGGTGGAGCAAAAGTCATTCTTGTTCATGACAGGGAATCGCTGATGAGGACATCTGGCCTGGAGCTACCATCTCAGGGCCAACTGCAGAACGAGAACAGGTGATCAGTCATGAGCTGGAACACGTTTCCAACAACCATGACATTTATACACATTTAGTCATTCATTTAGATAATTTGTTTTAAAACTGGTCCATTGGTATAATTAGAGAAATGTCATCGCAGTAAATCACATGATAATTTCTCCAGTAAGGACAGTTCTGAGAAACTCATTAAATATATAAACCTTTCAGTTTACACACCATGTTTGAAGTCCTGCCTTTCTGTTGACTCAGACTAGGTGACATGCTGTTACTAAGATAAATGTATTTTTCATAACTGTTAGTGCTTGATGAGTTTACTGCGGTATGCTAACAAGAGCAAATGATTTAAAGGGAGATAATTGTGTCAGTCAATAATGTACCTGATGGAGAATTAGCTTACATACAGAATTTAAATAAGCAGTACTGGTATATGGTGGCAAATGGCAATTGTCATAATTGTGAATACTTTGGGATATGAACTTAAAGTTGCAGTGCTTGTATGGCTACTGACACTGAATGGTAAAATCGATAGTGAGAAATCTACCGTTCAATTACACGCTCTAATAATGTATGCCATTATGCAAAAATAAACCTTGTAAAGAACCTATTTATGTTCGCGAT